CGAGTCACAAGAGTCGACATGGAACAGATTTGCTCGTATCAATATGTCACCAAATGCATCATGTTGTGAAAACCAAATGTATCCTCAAGGCGGTGGAGAGGGAATGAATACGGCAGGAATAACACTGGAATGCTGACGGTTTTGGGAACATGGGTTATATCATATCGTATCAAGCTGTCACAAGTCACAAATGCTGACAGCTGTGGGTGAAGAGGTAGATATCAATGTGTCCATTGAGGTCAAGTGGTTTGCTAAAGAGTGAATGTGCAATGATCTGAGGGCGATGATCAACGTTGATCTAAAGAACAGATACGTCCATTACAAGTCGGGGTGCGGGGTCAAACGGACGGAGGGAATTAATCCAAAACTGAGTGAATTTTCCAAACCGGTTGATCTTTACACACTGTCTTTACACACTATCTGTCTCGCTCATTCAGTGTCACCCAGTGAAACTGTTCGTTCTGTGGCTCACTCCATCGACTTAGTCCTATTTTATGTTCACCGTATCTCAGTGTATGTAATCGCCTGATGTGAGAAGTAATTTTCGTTGCGAACACCGTTTTAATGCACATTTAGCTTTAGTCCCCCAATCCTATGGGATTCTCAACTCGTGTTATTCATTCATTCATTTTCAGTGTTGCAAAGTCGCAAAATATGTCGCGTGAGGATATCACGCAAATCGTGTGGCGTTACGCAGATCATCTATACAAGTACGTCAAGTCTGACAAAGGGAATAATGAGACCAAACGACCGTCGTTCGCAGTCCCTGGTCAGCCCTATCTTCCGTTTGGTTTTTCGCTGCAAACTTCTACATTCTTCGCAAATGGTTGCTGAATTGATAAACCCAAAATAGCTATTTTGTTTTCTGTCCTGATTCCCCGTGGAGAATTCAACAGGTTGAATGTCATCTGTCACTCGCTGAAGCGTATAAACAAAACAATCGTGAATGATGTGATGAGAAAAATGTTATTGATTTTAACCAATCAGTACTACACTACTCACGAGTAGCTGGGAGTTAAATACAAATTAAAAATACCATGGCCTAGCACGTTTTATTGGTCAAATTCACCTCAACTTGCAAAGTATACCCGGTTTGATGCGGGTCGTGCCAAAGATAGTGACTGACTGTCTCTGAAGAAAACATCTGAACAGACACGAATTGACAATTCTGATCAGCTCCGGTATGAGGTGATTAGCACCATGGTAACAAACACCTGCCATGTAATGGG